TCACCCCTTTCTCCTTTCCTCCCTCCTCTTTTTTTTTCCTTCTCCTCTCCCTCCTTCTTTATCCCTCCCTCTCTCACTCCTTCCTCTCTCTCCTCTTTCCTCACCTTCTCCCTCTCTCCCTCCATCTTTTCCCCTCCCCCTCTCTTCTTTCCTCCCTCCTCTCTCCTCTCCCTCCTTCTCCCCTCCTCCATCTTTTCCCCTGCCCCTCTCTCCTTTCCTCTCTTTCTCCTTCTCCCTCTCTCCCTCTTTCCATCTTCTCCTCTCTCTCCCTCTCTCTCCTCTTCCTCTCCCTCTCACCCCTCGCTCCTCTCTCCCTCTCTTCCACTCTTCTCACTCCTCCCTTCTCCTCCTCTCTCTCCCTCTTCTTTCCTCCTTTCTCCCTCTCTCCCTCACCTCCTCTCTTTCCTTCCTCTTCTCCTCTCTTCTTCTCTCTCTCTCTCCTCTCTCCCTCTCTTTCCTCCCTTCTCCCCTCTCCCTCGCCTCGACTGAGACCCCCGACGCCGAAGCTCGACGGAAAAGGAGCGAGAGAACTTCCCGATCCAGTGACACCTCAAGGAACGCGTCAGGTTGACATTCCTTGGTCTCTCTCGCTCTTCTTGTCTCTTTCTTTCTTCTCTGTCTCTTTCTTTCTTTCTTTCTTTCCCCTCTGTCTGTCTGTCTGTCTGTTTGACTTTGACTCTCTCTCTGTCTTAACTCCTTGTCTTATCTGTTTTTTTTTTGTCTGTCTGTCTGTCTGTCCCTTTTTCCCCTGTATTTCTTTCCCTCCCTCCTTCTTTCTCCCACTCTTTCCCCCTTTTCCTCTCTCTCCCTCTCTTTCCTTCCCTCCCTCCCTCCCTCCCCCCTCTCCCCCCTCTCCCCTTTCTTTCCTCCCTCCCTCTTTCCCACCTTCCTTCCCTCCCTCTTTCCCTCCCTCCCTCACTTTCCCTCCCTCCCACCCGACAACACTGCCATTAGCACACATGCAGGCAGGCGACCGCAGCGTGGCTCTAAGAATAAGCCGTGTCGTAATGTAATTCCGAGGGCATGGGCGGGCAGGCGGCGGGCGGGGGGCGGGGCGTGGGACCGGGAGGCGTCGCAGCGCTAAGGGGTCGGGTCTTGGGGCGTCGTGGGAGAGGGCAGCACGCGCGCCCCTCGAATGGCAATGGGGTGTAGGGGTGTAGGGGTATGGAGGTGGGGAGGTGTGGGGTATTGGGGGGAGGGTATTGGGGGTGTGGGGGGAGGGTATGGGGGTTGGGGTGGGGTGATGAGAGGGTGTGGTGGGGTATAGGGGGTGTGGGTGGGGTATAGGGAAGAGGGGTTGGGGTGTGGGGTATGGAGGTGTGGGGTGGGGGTATAGGGGTGTGTCGTGGGGTACGGGAGAGGGTTGGGTGTGTTGTGGAGGTATAAGGGAGAGGGTGGGGGTATTGGGTGAGGGTGGGGGCATAGGGTGTGGGTTAGGGGTGTGTTGTGGGGTATAGGGGAGAGGGTTAGGGTGTTGAGTGGTGGTAGGGGTATAGGGGAGAGGGTTAGGGTATGAAGGTACTGCTGTTGGGGTATGGGGGTATTTGCATGTCGTGTGGGGTACTGGGGAGAGGGTTGGGGGTATGTTGTGGGGGTAGGAGATATAGGGGTGGGGGTGGGGGTATGGGGTATATTGTAGGGGTTGTGGAAAGAGGGTTGGCAGGGGGGTAGGGGTATGTTGGGGTTAGGGGTATGTTGGGTGGGTTGGGGTATGTTGGGGGTAGGAGTATGTTGGGGTAGGGGTATGTTGGGGGGTAGGGGTATGTTGGGGGGTAGGGGTATGTTGGGGGGTAGGGTATGTTGGGGGTAGGGGTATGTTGGGGGTAGGGTATGTTTGGGGAGGGGTATGTTGGGGGTATAGTTGGCAAAGGGTATGGGGTATGATAGGGTATGCGATTCTGGGCAAGGGGTATGTGGTCGAGGGTAGGGGTCAGGCGAGGATAGGAGGATGGGGTATAGGCATGGATAGGCGCGGCTAGGTAGGATAAGGTAGGGTATGGGGTCTATGTAAGGATTTTTATAACGGGAAATAAGGTAGGTATAGAAATAGGGTAAGGGGGGGGGGTTGGATAGTAATCTGGGTAGGGATTTGGGCAAGGTAGTGATCGTGGGGGGGGGGGGGGGGTATGCATGAGCGGAGGGGGGTATGACTAGTTAAAAGAGGGGGGGGTATGCATGAGCGGGGGGAGGGGGGTATGACTAGTTGAAAGAGTGGGGGGAGGGGTATGACTGTTAAAACGAAGGGGTATGACTAGGAGAAAGGGGGGGGGGAGGGGTGTTAAGGTAAGGATATACGGACAGCGCGGGTTGGAGGGGGTGGGGGAGGAAAGGGGGAGGGAGAAAGGGGAGGGTTGAGAAGGCAAAGAAAATAGAGAGAAGTTAAAAGGAAGGGTTAAGATTAAGATAGGTGGGTAAAGCAAGGAAGGGAAGGAGAGGGGGAGGGGGAGGGGGAGGGAGATGGGGAGGGGCAAGGGAGGGGAAGGAGAGGGGAGGAGGGGAGGGGGGGAGGGGGGAGAGAGGGAGGAGGAGGAGGGAGGAGGGGAGGGGTAAAGGTGCAAGGGAAGATATAGGGAGGGGGAGGGGAGGAGGGGGGGGAAGGAGGGGGGGCAAGGGAAGATATGAGAGGAGGGGGAGGGTAAAGGTGCAAGGGAAGATATAGGGGAGGGGGGAGGGGGGGAGGGGAGGAGAGGAGAGTAGGTTGACACTCGTACAAAAGGAAGAGGGACATAAAGTGTATAACGAATGAGAGGGAGAGAAGCGAGGTTTGCATCGGGAAGGAGCTGGAGAGGGTGGGGGGAGGAGGAGGGGAGGGGGGGGTGTCTTTTCTCTTTTGCCGAATCTTATGCAAATCTTTCTTTCTTTTCTTTTCTTTTTTTCTTTCTTGTTTTTAGTCTTTGTCAGTCTGTCTCTCTGCCCTGCTATTGTATATACGTATATATATATTATATATAATATATATATATATATATATATATATATATATATGTATGTATGTGTGTGTGT